CTCCCGCCCGCGGGCCCCGTGACTGGACACAACGTGCTCGCAGGCAGCCCCGCGCTAGCGGCCGTCGCTGCCTTTCCGGACTTCGACCCGCGCGCTCAGAGCTGCAGTGGTCCCGCGTCCCGCCGGGCGCTGCTCCCCACGCCTGTAGCAGCAGCCTCTCTTCCTCTCTTCCAACAGAGCGCGATGCGGTTCCCCAGGCTTTACCGTGCTCCCAACAAGAGGAGCACACGCCAGGGCATGGCAATCCCCGTGTCCCTGTGACCGGGGTGGCCGCCACGCTGAGCACGTGTCACCCAGGTGCTGGTGGAGGAAGGGTCTTTGGGCAGCAATGGCAACTGATGGGCAGGTGGGAGAAATCCTGCTTAAAGATTAGAAAGGTCAAACTCTTAGAAAGAAGAGAAACTGAAGCCTGAAATTGTGGCTGTAACTAAGAGTATCTTTAGGAAAGGAAAAGCAAATGCTTCTGCTTTTTCCTATGCTTTCAAGAGCAAAGGGCACTTAATTTTTCTGATGGGCAGCGCATTCAAAATGGCTGTAATTAAATTTGATGTCCTGTTTTCTTCAGAGACCTTTGCAAGCTGGCTGTAGAAATAAACATTTCAAGTGCTGATTCTTTTCAGGTCTTGATCTGCTGTCCTAGAGAGTCATGGAAACATGCTTTTCTTCATTCTCCCTTCTTCCCTGTTTTCTGGACAATAATCTGCTGCTAAATCACTGTTGCATTTGTCCAGTTTCTAGTTGCAGGCTTGTGCTCTGTGAAATAACTGTGAAATACAAGCAAATCTTAACAACATAGAGAACATTGCACTTGAGTTGCAGAACACAAGAGCCTCTTCCAGTGAATGGGACTTCCCTCTAGGACCTAATGTCTTTGGCTGCCTTTCATCTCTGTAATGTTCTTATTCAACTGGTAAGATCTCCTTGAGGTGTAGAAGATTCTTCACACCTCCGAGGATACCCCCCGCTTTCTTGGAAGCTATTCTGGCTTCTGCTGTGCCCTGTCCCGTCAGCTCTGCTGGTGCAGCTGCTTCTGAAGCTGTGTGGGGAACTTGCAAAGAAAGGTTATTTTTAACCCAGATGAGTTTCCTGGTCCCATTCGTCCTGTGGCTGTGCGGCTGGAGGAAGAGCAGATGTTGCTTAAGGGTTTGCCCAACTTTAACAGTGCTCTGAAAGCCAGGCAGGCCCTGAGGCGGTGGAAATGTTGGTGTGTTTTTTGCAGCATGTGCCTGTCATTAGGTGCTGCTTGTGATGAGCCAGGAGCCCCCTCCACATGCAAATGGCTCAGAAAAACCCTTTTCCCCATAGCAGGAGCGAGCAGATGCTGCAGGGAATGGAAAAGGAGGGATGTGCCAATTCCTTATTTGTTGTCTCACTGTCACAGCACTTAATGTCTGCATCCCAGGTATAGGCCGTTTCTTTGGTTTCTCTTGCTGAATCTGTTACGTGTTGAATCTGCGCTCCAAACATAATTACAGCTGCACGTAATAATCTGGAAATGTATACAGGATGCAAGAGGAACACAAGTTAAGTCCCAGTATTGTTATGGCTAACCAAAGAGAAGCCTCTCTGCTGCAAACCTGTGTCGAAGTTACAGTTGACAAAATGATCACTTGCTCCTGCAGGAAATGTTTCCTTCCAACTTGAAGGAGAACGTCGGGTTTGAAGGGGGTGGCAGTGATTATCACAGAGAAAGGTTGGCCAGTGGCATCTTCTGAAAAACAAAAAACACCTGAAAAGTCTGTAAGTAAGACTTAAAGAGTAGGAAGGAATGGCATATATTTTCTCTGCTGCCTCAAGCAGTTGTAATGAGGTTCTGTCACTCTGCTCTTGAAGTGTACTCTTGTTTTGGAAACTTTTTTCAGCAGAACTTATGCTATAACTTGTACCTGTAGCACATTGAAACCCTTGTCCCCATGAGAGCACTTTCCCCTCGCCACAGGAGTCTGCCTGCAGCTACATTCAGGTGTCACTGAACGTTCAGACCATGGTCATTGACTGATGACAGCCCTTAGGACAGGAGTCCCGTTTGCAGAGCAGCCACGAAGGGGAGCGGGGCTCGGGGCGCACGCGAGAGGGACCCGTCCCAGTCTTCTGGGACTGCTGTTGAGCTGCTCGAGGTGAGACCTGGTCTCTAGGCTCTGCTCCCAGGTGCTTTCCCTGTCATTTCTGATCTTCCAGGGGGGTGGCTTTTGCCATATCCCGTTTTCTGGATGCAGCAGCACTGCCACGGAGCTATTGCGGTAAGCCAGTATTAAAGTTTTATCCTCTTTCCCCCTGTCCTGCAAATATTTTCCATCATAAAGGAAACACCAGAAGGCTGGTGCAGAGCACAAGATGTGTCTCTCAATCTTGTACGTTCATTGAAAAACAACCCTGAAACCCAATCTCTGCATAGGAATCTCCCAAAGGTTTAAAATAGCGCGGTATCAGGTATAACGTATGAAGCAGGCTCGTCTGGAGGTGCTCACAAGCTGTTCCTGAGGTGTGTGTGAGTCAGATGCTCTCCAAGGAGCATGCATGAGTGGAGAAACAGGCTGCAGAGCAGAGCTGCTGGCCCGGGGTGCGGTGACAACGCCGGGCAGAGCCCGGTTGTGTCCATGGGGCCGCTGCTTCCACAGCTTGTCCGGGGGCTTCCGTGCGCTTCTGGGATATATTCCGTGCAATAACATTTTCCTTGTCTTCGTGCTTAGTATCCTAGTGTCCAAAATGTTCGAAAGAGCTGAGCTTTTGGGGTTCTGATTCTTTAGATCCCAGTACGTGCCAAGTCCCTTTGGGAGCTGGACAGTCCGTAGGATTAGAAGGTCCTGGTTGCACGCTCTGCTTTCCCCAGCACCACCTCGTGCAATCTCTTTCATAAACAGATCAATTTCCATGTTAAAAATAGTTTATTTCTTAATCCTTCCTAGAATGCCAACTGCAGGTAGGTTGCTCCAGACCCACTGCTCAGAGGCTTGGAAACCTTTTTTTTCCTTTTTCTTATTTTTTTCTTTTTAACTTTCTTACCAGTTTGTTCTTTGATCAGCATTATGCTTTGAGGTTTTTTCTTTGCCTGTTGCTAAATTCTTTTCTTCACCCTAATGCAACTTAGTCCTAATTTGCTCAGCCAAAGAAGCTGCAATGATCTCTTTGGCAACTCACATGCCTGTCCCTGACCACCCTCAGGGTCTTGCTATGCCTCTTCAAGCATGTGTGTATGTACATTACTAGAATTACACACTTTCTCAGCTGGTACTTCTCTGTTTTACTGGAGGGTTTCCCACGTTCCTGTTTGTCCCTTTTTTTCAGGCTTGCCGTGTTGACCACCTATGGGCATCCAGAAATCAGGCTGTTCTCCAAAGCTTCACTGCAGGAAAGGGTAGACTAGAAATTCTTGTTAATCATCTCTGAGTGTGCAATCACACATTTTTTTATATCAGTGAACATCGTCTGGTTTCTACCATTCCAGTCTCAATATTAGTCCAGGTCCTTGTGGAAACTCCAGTTGTCCCCTGTGTTGACTGTACCTCCTGAAGGTCTGGGTAGTTCAGAAGTAACTTTGGATTCCTATCAGATTTAGACTGGTACTTTAGACAAATACTAGGAATTTTAAGCTCCTTCCAGAATGTGTCTCAAGCCCGGAAGGCATTTCTGTTCTTTTCTAACCAATAGAACCAAACAAACTTCAGCTGTGTAGATGCAGCTGACATTAATCTAGCTACCCTAGCCAATTTATGGACATTTGTCTAATTACTCAGCAATGGGTGTATTCAAGTGACCAGAACTAAGGCTCATTGACAGCTTAAGCTTTGATTCTTTTTTTATTTATTTTTTGCTTGTAAAATTCACTGTGATAGTCAGCAGTGCTGAGCTTCTCTTTGAAGAAAAAGGTTGTGGAGAGGCAAAACAAAACGTATGTTTCTGTAGACTGGCTCATTGCAGCAGGCACTCGCTCGTACTCCACATGCCAGTCTGTAGCAGACTGTTCTGCCAGCACTGACAGTGCTCATATTGCCAGCACGCTGTTGCTCCTGAAGGTGCTTGTTGTTGCAGACTGTGCAGTTGGCCTCTCAAAATAAAGAAAAGGAGACAGAAAAGCGTCCGCTCGTGTTGGATGGCAGCAGGAGCGTTTCTAGTTGCTTGCTCACTCCAGAGCTGGTTTCTGAGCTGAGGGATGGGGATTGCAGCCCAGGGTGTCTGCAGACACTTCGTTGGAAGAGATGTGGGAAGATGCACTGTGTACTGAACTGAATCTCTGTCCAATAGGTTTGAGAGCACTGTGCAGGTTGGCAAACTACAGGACCTTATCAACCGAAGTAAGATGGCGAGGTGTAGAGGACGATTTGTTTGCCCAGTCATTCTATACAAGGGAAAGGTAAAGCTTCATGGGTTACCTGTCTTAACTTAGAAAATGAACTTTCTGCCATTTGAGCCGTGCGGCCTTTTCTTCAGAGGGTTGTTACCTTCCCTAGTGCTGCAAAAGATAGTCTTAGGTGTGGGCAGGCGGTCTGCAGAAATAGATAACATTTGCTGTTTAGGCTACCTAAATCATCTATGGGGCTTCAGGCTGCTTTTTTTCCCCACCATGTCATGAGCATTGCACCAAGGAACTAGCATTTTCTGCATCTCTGCATTCCTTCTGAGAGCACCACAGATAAGTGGCCTTTGAGAGGGGAAAGACAACTGCTGTCACTTCCTGACCCTTATGCTTTCCAGCAGCGAGCTCTCTTTTGAACAACTTCTATTTCTAAAGAGAAGTTTCCCTTGTATGCTCCCTAGGGAGGCAAGATGGCAAAAAATGGTCTGATGAATACGTGGGCTTGTCTGCAAGGGAATCTACAAGAAAAGGAAATTAGATTATTTTTTATATAGATTGCTTAAGCTGCATTGAAGCCCAGCAGGAGTAATCACATTCAAAATTTATGTAACTTAATTCAGTATTCTTAATTCAAGTCAGAAGCATTGCATGAATAGCAAAATCACACACGTGACGATTTTAATCCGGCTTGATCGGAGCTGTCACGGGCTGGACCTGCTGCCCTTTACCCACAGGAGTGAACTGCCCAGGGTGGTGCTGGATGTGACCATCCATAATCTTATCAATGGGAATATGAAGGATAAGGCTCAAGCAGGGTATTAACAGAGCACAAATGCTGCTAATTTATCAGGAATTTAATGTATTAGTGAATTGGAGAGCTAGAGATGAAAATGTGATTTAAAAACTAGCTACAGATTGAGGCTTTTGAGAGGCTGATGTGTTTGGAGAACTTAATCGTGGTCAGGGTTGCAGGGAAGGCTGCTGAGAGGCAGTCACTGTAGGTACCAGCCTTATCTTTGTAATGTGACAGCAACCAGGACATTGGGCTGATAAAGAAAAGATTTTTGGGATGTGTGGCTAATAACAAAATCTTCCTCCAGCATATTTGCAGATCAGCAACGTTAGCTGGCTGGGGAGAGCTCTATGGGCGTACTGGCTACAACTACATCTTCTCAGGTGAGTGAGGAACCATCTAACAAGCTGTGTGGTTAGGTTGGTCAGGGCAGGGGTGGTGACTGAGATGTGAGATCAGGCTTTCCTGCAAGCAGGTGCAGAGCTCTGTTATGGACCTACCTATATCAGGCCTGAAAAATAGGACAGAGCATGAAATTTGGTGCCTGTTTCCAAGCACTGTCCTACGAGATAAAGTGCTGTGCCTCCTCATGCCAGGAGAAGTGAAGGAACTTGAGGCTGAAAAGTGGGAAGCAGGTGGGCAAGTTGGGCAGCCTGATGGATTTGGGGTATTGACCCTCCGAAACTGAGGGTGAGAATAGGTTAAGTAAAGGGAGAAGAACTTGTTGCTTGGCTGATCAGCTTGAATCAAAAGGAGCTAATAGTGAGAATTGGGAAGTTTTTTCAGGACATTTTGGGTGTCTGGTATAAGGGAACTGAAACTTAACTAGGAATTGCACAGCACAATCAGGGGTGTGTTTCCAGCTGTCAGTTATGGGACTGACCTACCAAGGTTGCCCGAGATCATCTGCCCTTTGCAAGGCCGAGGGAAAGGCGGGCTGCATTAGAAAACAGGCTCTGTAGGGAGAGGAAATACAGAGGAAAATCGAGATCCACCCCCCCAAACTATGGCTTTCTAGAGTGTGTGTGTGTGTGTGTGTGTGTGTGTAGGGCGTGGGGATTGAAATAGTTTATACAAGTTTTAATTATTACTGTCTTCCTTGCAGGGGGTTCTGACGATGCTTGGGCAGACGCGGAGGATGTGTCAGAGGAAGACTCTGCATTTAGGTTTGTGCATGTCACATGGAGAAAAGGGCATGGAGCAAACGTGACTGGCTGAGGTGCTTAATGCTGCTCCTTCCTTCTTAAGATGGGCTTTGGTGCAAGCTTGAAATCGTCACTGAGCTGGGAATCCTTGCTTGTGAAAAAGAGCCTTTTCTTGTGTGCTTGAACATGCTGGTGCTAAAGGCTGGCCAGACCCAGTGTGACTGAAGATTACTAATCTACTGCCAGGGAGAATGGTTGGAAGATGCCAGTCTGTTAAAAAGGCCTCTGAATTATGCAGAAGTGTTTACTTGATCAAAAAGCAGATCTCCATGCTGGAGAAAACTTTCTGTATTTTGCTTATGTGCTTGTTGCTGTAGAAGAGTGACATATGGGGGGAGGGACCCTAAGGACTAAGTCTGCAAAATCAGTTCATTGCAGAATGTGACTGTGAGCTGTGAGGACGAGGCTCAGGCTTCAGGCCTCATGGCTGGAAGTAGTTTGAGAGGCTGTGGCTGTATCACGCAGGCAGTCGGAGTGACAGGGTCAGCATTTGGTGCTGATTTGGCTTTCCCTTGTACTGTGTTGCAGGCATGCCGACTCCCAGCTGTTCGACAAGGTCAGAGGACATGACATCAAGCTGCTTCGGTACCTGTCTGTCCGATACATCTGCGACCTGATGGTGGAGAACAAGAAGGTGAAGTTTGGCTTGAAGTGAGTCTGGATTCATCTGTTTTTCTGCAGGCTTCGCATTGCGGCTGGTAGCCCTCACTTGTGGATGTTTATTGGTCCTGGAAATACCCTGCAGCAGGGTTAAGAGCTAATCAGTGCTGTAAAGAGAACCCCAAGGTTTTAGGCAAAAGAAAGCGGTAGCAAAGGGGAAGACACCTGCTTTGCTGTGCTGTCTTCTATGATCTGCATAGATTTTCTCTTTACAGCTTTAGGTGATGTGAAAAATTCAGAAAGGGAAGTGTAAAGGACCCCTCCATTTGTATGTGGAAACAGAGAGATGCTTCTTCTGATATTCCTCTTGGGGAAAAGCTGAAGTGTTTTTGTCCTATACCTGTCCATCTGGGTTTGGATGCTCAATTCTGCCCACTTCTGAGTCGAGTCATAGTGCGAGGAGATGCTGCAGGTGTCTTTTTGGGTGGCAGTGTCCATGTGAAAAGCACTCTAACTGTCTGCTGTTCTCTTGTCTTGCACAGTGTGACGTCTTCTGAGAAGGTGGACAAAGCTCAACGTTATGCTGATTTCACGCTTCTCTCCATCCCATATCCAGGTATAGGACTGATGTCTAGAGGGACTCCAAGGGACAGGTGACAATCCATTTCTGGGGACTGGGAACTACCTGTGTGTGTTGTGAAATGATTGTGGCTTGCTGAATGTTTCCTGTGCTCCCTCTGGAGGGGAAGGTGCTTTTAAACTGAGAATAGTGCCGTGGAGCTGGAGCCTCTGGCAGTGTGAGTCAGCACTAAGCATCTTTGAGATGGCAAGAGAAATTCTCAGCAGTTACAACAAATTCAAGCACAGAGAAAAAGTCCCAGAGAGAGAACTGGGTTTGATCCCTCCATAGCCTCTGAAGTATTTCGTCCTTTCCCATTCCTGCAGCTGCAAACTACTTCTTGATGCAAAATATATCATTCGATTCAAGCTACATACAGCCCCAGTTCTTAAAAGTATTTCCTAGTCCAAGTGTTGCAGAGAGAATCTCTGCAACAGAGAGAATCTCTGTATTATGTAGTCAGTGCTGAGAAAAGCTGTCAACAGGAGCCTGCAAAGTGCAACCAAGATACGAGCCACCCCAGTCCATCTCCCTGGTTATATTAGTTCTTGCTTCTGGCAACCACCACCGGGTCATTTGCTGCACTCTTAACGATGGGGTGAATATTGTTGGCTGGCCACTGCTGTCCAGCCCGGTAGTGGGATTGGATGTGAAACTGCTGGGACTCAGATCTGCCTGCAAAACAGGACCTCCCCACCCCCTTCCTCTGCACAAAAAGACAGGGAGCTGGGGAAAAAAAATAAAGCTGTTATGGATGCTCCAAAACAAAACTTATCAGTTACTTGTGGCCCCCAAATGTCTCAAAGGTACCTGTTTATTTATACAGAAATTAGGAACAATTCAGGAAATTAAAAAAAAAAAAAAAAAGGAAAAACTTTAAAGATTCCTATTGGGTTTGCTGTGCAGATAAAGGCCTATAAAATTAAGAATATTACTGGTTTCTGTTGCAATTGTCACAGATATAAGCTGCTGCTGTTTTTCTCAGCAAATTGAGACTACACATCACAACCGTTTGAGTTGCCTGTGACTTAGGGGGTAGGAATCATTGCGTTGGATGTGTCTGGGTAATACGGACACTCGGGAGGTTCTGTGACCTGCCCTGCTCTTGGGAGAGGGGCTCGTGCAGCCTGCAGGTGCTGCAGTGCTAATGGTGCTGCTCAGCTGTGACTAAGTGGCTGCAGTTTGCAGCAGAGATTCCAGATATTTATTCAAGAAGAACAGGAGCCAAAAGACACAAACTTCAGCAGGGTAAAGCTAAATTTCAGCTAACTCAATTAAAGCTCAGGAAATTGAGAAGTTTTTTTTTCATTTGAAGACTGCCTTATTTTTTTGCATTTTTTTCCTGCATTCAGAGCCTGCCTTGGAAGCTGTTTTGTACTTGCTTCCTACAGACAGGGCAGTTCTGATGTTTGAAAGAGAAGACTTAATATGAGAAAAGCCACAGCTGCTTCTAACAGGGTCTTTTGCTGTCACCTGCAGCAGATGCTCTGTGGCATTTGACTTTCCCCAGGGTTCTGCCAACACCTTCACTTGCCGGTTCCTTCTCAGCCAGGATATCAAGCTGATTCCCCACACCTGTGCAGAAGTCAGTGGCCCTGGAAAGCGCAGGTCGTTCTGTGAAACCTGCTGCTTGGGAGGGTGCGAGATCCGTGTCTCAGACCCCGGATTTACTGCGCTTTGGAGTTGGCCCTTGGGCTGCTGTGTGAGTGTGCTCGCTGCTGAGGGTTGTTGCTGCTCAGAGGCCATGCTGCCAACTGCCCTGGTTACTGCTCCTCGCTTCCCACAGGCAACAGCTTTGATTATTTTGATGCTTCGGGGCTCTGGGCTGCCAGCATTTTCAACCCCTTAGGGCAGCTGAGTTGTTAGGTATCAGTTAGTCGAATCGTTGTTCATTACTTCTTTTCTTGCAGGCTGTGAATTTTTTAAGGAGTACAAAGATCGGGATTATACGGCTGAAGGTCTCATATTTAACTGGAAACAGGTACATAGATATTACAAAATGGAAAGCTGTGGGCTCTAGTGTGCATAAGTCTTGTCTCAAAGAGTTCCTGGAGTGTGTATGTTGTATGCTTATTCCTAATCATGAGGAGAAAACCAGCAGGAGAAAACAGATAGTGAATGTGCTAAATGACTCATTCATTGTAAAAGTCATGTGTAAAATAAATCAATATCCTGAACTCCAGGATGCTCAACCTCTCATGGGAAGCACGAGTTGCTCCTGTTTTGAGTATTGATGATGTTTCGTTGGTAGCCTCTGTTCTCAGTTTTCTTCTTCTTATCCTCTCTTTTGCTGGAGGAGGTGGTTTAGTGAGCAGAAACAGCCCTATAGGAATTAACAAACTAAAATGTTTTATTCCTAGCTTTTTGTGTCCCTAGTAATGAAATGCTTCCGTTATCCACTCATCATTCGTTCTCTAAGAGTGGGAGTTAATTCTTGTTACGAGTTTTTGCATTCAAAGATGCTTTGAGATAATTTCTTCTAAGTGTACCATTTTGCAGTTGTTCTTTCTAGTCATGGCTTTTCTCTGACCTGTTACGTCTGTTTTTTTGCAGGATTATGTAGATGCTCCATTAAGCATCCCAGTCTCTCTGACCCAATCTCTGAATATTGATTGGAGTGAGTACCAGGTGAGGAAAGCATATGTGCCTGTGAGAGGTTAGAGGTTCAGACATGAAAGATCATTAAATATTTCAAGTTTGACATGTCACCATTGCTATATTCTGGCTCACTTCATGCCAGACCACAGGTAGAGAGGCTGCAGAGTTAACTGTTCAGAACAGCAGTCTGTAGTTGCTTGCACCTGACAGTCCGTTAGGGAGATGCATCACTAACAGACCTAGGAAACATGGGACAGGAAACAATCTTAGCTTAGGCACATGCCTCCAGTGGACAGATTTCCTTGGCTATGGACAGTCTTGAGAAAGATCACCTTTCCCTTATGTGAATAGTAAGCTAGTAACTAGGCACCTTCTGTAATGGGTGTGCAAAATGCCTGTTCTACGATGGGAAAGTAGTCAAATATGATTTACTGTATCGCATTTCCATTGCTTATTAGCATGACAGCATCACAAAGTGACTGAACTCTCTGCCTGAGCTTTGGGGCTCGCCCATGTTCCTGTCTGAGAGCACCATCTTATCCCACAACGCTGATGAGGGTGCTTACACATCCATGGAGCCACCACTGTCCCCTTCCTGTTTTTTTCAGGTTTTGCAGTGATTGAATCCCGTGCTCTGTAGCTGGAAGCACTGCAGAACTAGAAGGGCCTCCCAGTGCCGGGGCCACCATTTCTCAGTCAGTGATGGAAATAATGTTAAAATGATAGTTTAAGCAGAATGATGGAAAAGTAGCTTGCAATACTGAAGCAGAATGGATAGGACCACATTTGCTTATGACTTGAAACTTGTTCACTAGAATACTGATGTTTTAAAACCAGAATATCAGTGTTTTAAAAAGCCGTACCTTTTTTTTAAGGTAAGCTAAAAATTGAAGAGGATGTAAGAAATAAACGCAGAAATGATCTGAGAACTGGAGAACGTCCTTGACTCAAAGCTGAAGTTCTCGGTCTGTTTTGCTAATCACAGAGGTGATGGAGAGTTGACTTAATTGGCATATAAGTACCTTCATAGGGAGAAAATACTAGTTGTAAAGCACTCTTCAATCCAGGGAAGGAAATTGCACAGGGAACAATATCTGCAAGCTGAAATCAGACAAATGAGAACAGCAGTACTGTATGTTACTTTTGAGGGTGATCTCTTAGAACAGGCTGTCAAAGGAACAATAAACTTGGAAACAGATTAGATGCTTCTCTGGACAGAGTTATTGCCAAGTTCAAGCTTTAGGCTGTATGTGAAGCAACTGAACCAAACATTTTTGTTTATAGTATAGAGAGATCAAACTGGATAATTATATTATTCTTTTTGTCATGAGCATAAGATTGGGTTGAAGTGGGCAGATAAAAAGACTTTGGAATTATGTGTTTTTCTGCCCTTAGGCTCAGCATGTTTCCCATTTCCATACTCCTCTCTTGCTCTGCAGGCTTCAGGGCAGGGTGGTATGTTCTTTGTGTGACAGCAGTCTAAAGTGCACATAGACATACACAACAAGCTGTTCTGCCTTTGGGAGGCAAAAATGATTCATGCCAATAATTGTCACGACAAAATATTTGGCCCTCTCCTCACTTTGTCCTCACCAGTGCTATCCTGCTTCCATTGCCTTGGTTCTGGCTCTGAGGAGATTCTCAAAATTCCCTGCATCTTCCCATGACGTAGTGGTTGAGAACACCACACTTGGCCTTGTTCTGATCTTCTCACCTGCACAGGTGTGAAATATCTGCATCTCATAGCACCGAGGGTGCCGAAGTTCAGAGCCCTTCCGTGCTGCTGCCGCCTGAGCGTTACTGTACAAGTCTAGCTCCCATCTGGAGCTGCTGGAAGGGGGTCAGCCCTCTGCAAGCAGCCCTGATGCAGCTATTTACCTGGGCCAGTCAAAGAATTTTGGGCAGAGAGCTGCAGTGGGGATGGGCTGCTAATGTGCTCAGCCCATGGTGCTGCTTGCATCATGTACAGAGCTGTAACGTGGCTGCTGAGCCCTTCTGCAAAGTGTGTGCATGCAGGGGGCTGCAGAACCAGGTCACTGCTCCTCGGGTGTTCACCAGCTTGGTTCAGTCTCAAAACATGGTCTGCTTGGAGCTGTAGGGTGTCAGGCAAGCAGGTTTTGGGCCCAGCCTTCATCCACAGGCTGCAGGGCTCCTGACAGCAGCTCACATAGGCAGTAGGAATGGATTTTTTTTTTTCCGCTCCTCTGTCCTGTTGTCCTAGGGGGGCTGTTTTAGAGGATGGGAAAGTGTGCCCTGTTGAACAAGGGCTGTGGGGTTTTTTTTTTGTGCTTAGCTGCTATTCTGGATAGAGAGGTCAAGAACATGGCAGGTACTGAAGTACGGAGCAGCCTTTTGTTGTGAGGTGACCCTTGTCATTTCTGTTTCCACACAGAGCTGGGACCTCGTGCAACAGACACAGAACTACCTGAAGCTGCTGATCTCTATCATCAATAGTGATGGTAAGGCAAGCTCCTTGCTCCCTGGGTCTTATTAGGTGCCTTGTTATTATCTCCTTTTGCTACAGCCACCCCAGTTCAAAGCAAGCAGGTAGCCCTACGCTGGCATCCTGCATCCCTGCTGGATGCTGCAAATTATACCTAGGCCTGTTGGATAGATGGAGCTGTGGGTGACACTGGCAACAACCCTGCAGCAGATTCTCCTGTAGTTACTGTATGGAAAAACCCCAGAAACTTCCTGGAGATCACAGGAATGATGCCCCATGTGTGCCCCTGTGCCAGTGTGTATCAGTGGGAAGGGAAGATTTGTTTCTCTCGGAGCTGGTGGTTGGATTCTTCTGTCCTCTTAGGCTGAAAATAAATGCTAACTTGGTGTGGGTTTATCTCTGATATGAGGATGGAAGGTGGTGGGGGGTTGCAACGGGGCAATGGCTGTTTTGGGAAGCAAGATGATGTTCATAACTAGTGGCTTTGTGTCCTGAGCACCTGTCAGAACTAGGAGAGCTCATCAGCCAGGGCTGCTGACAACCTAGGGCAGTCTGAACACGGTGTTGGCTGTCACCTCCAAGGCAAAATGTTGTGGCATGGAGGATGAGCTCTGCTTCTCAGCACAGATAGGCTGTGGCGATGGAGAATGGCTTATTCTAGAGATTTACCATAAAGAATGGGCATTGCTCCTGTTACAAGTCCTTTGTTTGCTTCTCCTTCCTGCTCCCACGTGGAACAGATGACAGCGGGCTCCTGGTGCACTGTATATCTGGCTGGGATCGAACTCCTCTCTTCATCTCTCTGTTACGCCTCTCCTTATGGGCTGTGAGTATCCAGCTGATGTGGGGCAGTAGGTGGGAGAAGGAGTGACCATGTCCCTGGAAAGTGGTGGTGGAGCTGTTACTGCTCCGTTGACCATGCTGGCTTCAGAGAGAGAGTGGAAAATTGGCTTTGATGTGGAGCCTGATACACTGTCCTGCCTTCAGGCAGCGTATCCCAGGCTGGAAGAGTACTTCCAGCTCTGCTCAGCGCCTGGAATGCTGTGTGCTATAGCCAGGAGGTGCCTGACCACCACCTGGAGACAGGGTAGGGCAGGCCGGGTGTCTTGGTTCCCCATGGCATTTTCCAGTAGATGATGAACTCCAAGTCCTTGCCTCCAGAGCTGCTGCCTGAAGGCTGCCTCATTTGCTTTGCAGGATGGGCTGATCCATGCGTCCCTGGAGCCATCGGAGATTCTCTACCTAACAGTGGCCTATGACTGGTTTCTTTTCGGGTATGTGCACTAGAGTTTACTGTAACTCTGTACAGTAAGGGTGAAATCCTCAGAGGGTCACCATCAGTGTTTGCTCACAACCAGGGCTGTGTGTTTGGGCTCCCACCAAGTTGCTGAGCTGTGACAAAGAGGAGCTGGTGCTTTTTGTACACTGACTACTCCTGATAGCCTGTGCTCTTCTCCTAGTTCTGGCTTCTAGCATGTGATCTCTTTCCCTTGCTCTCTTTTCCAGGCACATGTTAGTCGATCGACTCAGTAAAGGAGAAGAGGTGAGTGTCTGGTCTGGGGCAGTGGCTGAGCACAACTTTGTTTCTTGGATGCTTGTTTAAGGTAGCAGCATCACTGTGTGCTTCCTGATAATGCCAGCAGTCTCGCTGGGCTCTGGGTGTTCAGGTGCTGGAAATACGAGGTGGGAGCCTTGCCCCTGTTACTTCCCGTGAGGTGTGAGAATGCTGTTTATCTCAGGCTGCAGTCTGGCTGGTGAGTGTCAGTCCTGCTGCTTCCCCTCCTGTTCCGTTAGTGTTTAGACTCATGGTGAAAGGGAGCCGGGATCTCTATCCAGCTCAGCAATGAGAAGGGATGCTTAAGGTGTCTGATTCCTGGGAGCTCGGAAATAAAGCTGCAGTCTTGGGTGCTTGTCGGGAGCGCCAGCCCCCAGCTTAGGTGCTGCAGCTGCACGTGGCTTGTCACCATAGGGCCATGGAGCAGCCCACACTGGTTCTAGTGTGTCTGTGGGGCTGTGCGTAGATGGGTCTAGGAGGCAGTTGTGATCAGTGGGGCTAATTGTGTTCAGATCTTCCACTGCTTAACAGCAAGTGATGCTCTGACGATTGCAGTAGACTGCCCATCACTTTTGGATAGGGGTCCCAGGTGGGCAGCGTGTCTAACCCTATTGCTAATCCTCCATTCCTTGGACTCTCTAGCAAGCCCCAGCCCTTGAGCAGTACTGCACCCCTTGCAGAAAGCAGAGATGGCTCCCTGGCCTCTTTTCCCTCCTTGGAGGGTTCCGGATCCCATCTTAGTGTCTCTCTCCCATATTCCCTCACTTCCTAGAGCTCTGCTGCCTCCTGGCTCACGACTCTGCTTGGGCCCAGTGCTTGCTGAGCCAAGGAGGGTGCCAATAGCTGGTGTGGGGGTGTGCAGCTGGCTCCAGCACTCGCGGTGCCCGTGGCAGGAGCACAGGGACTCTGCCCTGGCCAGGTCGTTGGGTTGGCAGAGGCAGAGCCGGCCGAGTGCTGCAGAGCAGCTGGTGCATGGCAGGGCATGAGCCTGGGGCCGCAGAGGCTGCAGGCGCCGCGTGCTTTGGTGTGATGGTGCTGCAGCACCAAGGTGGAGCATGCGATTCCTCTAGCCCATGCAAGCCCTTTAGCTATTCCCAGCCAGGCCTGCCGGGGTTTGCTGCTTGCTGGGATGCGTGAGCAGCTGCTGGGGGCCTGTTCCTTTTCCAGTCAGCGTCGATGGCCTAAGTGCCCTTGCTGTGCTCGTGGCATGCGTGCTGAGCATTGGTAAGGAGCCTGGTTATGCACTCCTTTCTGAGCCTCCCCGTGATGGGGAACAGGGTCTGTTTTACATGCAAGGCAAGGCCCGCAATGAGATGGGGGCAGCCCATGGCATATCAGAGTCTGGGAGCTGCAGATTTCTTGCTATCTCCTTCTTGCCAGCACCTCCCTGCCAAGATAAGAGGCTGCATGGAGCCTCGGGTTCATCTCTGAACCACTCTTCTCTCTCCCTTTGCTCAGATTTTCTTTTTCTGCTTCAATTTTCTGAAGCACATCACCTCTGAGGAGTTCTCTGCTGTGAAGTCGCAGAGGTAAGGCGCCTGTGTCTGCTGCTGCATGGGCTACAGAGCCAGGGAGCTCGTTAGTGCTGTTCCTTTGGGGAGGTAGAAGCCCTGGTGTCCTGGCCCAGTTTTCTTTAATTTGTTCTGCACTCTGAAGGCTGCAAAATGGGGCCGAGGCTTTTTGAGGTGCAACGTTGAGCTCTGAAAATTGTCCAGGCTGAAACGTGCTCTCTGCTTTACGACCGTCCGTGGCTGCTCAGCACGGGTGAACGCAGAGCGGGCGCTCTGAATCGAGCGGGCTGCACAGCAAGGCCCATCGGGCACTGCCAGGGGAGCGGCGTGGCTGCCTTCTGATAGACATTACACATGATTTCAGGAGGGACATAAAAGAAACAAACCCCATCCTGGAGGAGGCTTCTAACTCTGCTTAAACACACAACTGCCTGCAGCAACCTGTTGCAAAAAGTACAGAGTGTGTGGGCTGAAATGGCTAGAGAGAGTCAGATACAACACCCGGGCCCCTCTGTCCTGCCCCTGCACAGCTGATTTCCCCCTAATCTGATTCCGTGTGAGCAACAGATCTGGCTGTGGCCAGACCGCATGCAGTGCTGCAACGTGGCTGACAGGACCTTGTCTTTCCTTCCCCAGAAGGAAGAGTTTGCCAGTGGGCTTCACCCTGGAAGAGATCTGCATGCTCCGTGAGTGCGGCTGGGATCAGCCCCTCTGGGTGCTGGTGACGGTTGGGCCCTTGGGGCTGGGGTTCCCACTGCGAAGGGGAGCCCAGGTGAACTGTGCTGCCTTTGGGGGGCATGGCAAGAGTGACGTCCCAGGGCGAGTGGAAAGTGTAAGGTTCAAAGGGAGAGGAAGAATCAGTTAATCCAAGCTTGTCTTCATGTAATTCTGCCTCTTTTTTTTATTATTATTTTCTAGAACAGAGAGATCGAGGCAGCACCACGAGTCTGAGCAGCGACTTCTCCCTGGGGCTGGAAAGCTCTCCTGGAGCAGCTGGGAGCTTCACCTATGAAGCAGTGGAGCTGATGCCAGCAGGAGCACAAGCCCAGGCAGCATGGTGAGGAGACAGTCACGCAGCGGACTGCAGAACAGACAGGGCAGGCTCTGACCACAGCAGAAAAGATACCTCTGAGCAGCCAGCTCTCTGGGTCTGCTCTGCGCTCCCTGCAGTGCAGGGAGGGATTTGGCTCTTGGAGGTCTTGCAGCAGCTTGTGCTAGAGAACTACACCAGGAGCTGGAGACTCCCCTGTGTTAATGACTGCCAGGCTTCTGCAGGGATGTTGCTGAACTTTGTCCCCTGAGATGGTAGCAAGTTTTGTTGTTGTTTGTTTTTGTGTATGTGTTCTTTTTTGTTCCTTTGTTGACCAGTTTCAAAGTTACACGCAGTGAAATTGTTGCTGGATTAAGGAAAATGTCATTTGGCAGCAGCCTCACCCGGGAAAAGTGGAGACAAAAAGCTTAGATGCTCTGTAATGAGGCTTAATTGGTTTATGGAAGAGGTTATACAAGGAGGTGTCTGCACTAACGGGACGTGGAGTGGGTGACTAGGGATCCCCTCTGGACTTACGCACCTCTGACAGGCCATGACGTGTGAGCTGAAACCAGGCTGCTGTCTGCAACGTTGCCTAGAGATGGTTTGGGGAGAGAACGTGAAATTTGCAGTGGTTCCTGTTGTTGAAGAGCTGTGTGGGACTTGCCTATGCAGCCAAGGTGGGGAAGATGTCTCGGGTGGTTCTGCTGCCTGGGACAGGTGCTCCGCTTGCTTATGGAGTTTCTGGTTCTGTGTTTGGGGATTTCGGAGCTGTTCTTGAGGGCTGCCCCTCTCAGTTTAATTTTTCACTCCTCTCCCTCAGCACATGTGAAGATGCTATTTTATGTTGCAATTATTTTAAATTAAATCTGGGTTGTGCTGGAGGCAGCTGGAAATCCTCTGGGACTGAGAAGCCTGCAGCTGTGCTAGTGGCAGCAGCTTTCCTAAGCACAGTAAGATTCAATTTATGAAATACTGAAGAACAGGCAGATGAGCTGCAAAATCACAAAATAAAAGGGGGGAGCCCCAAACTGCATTTGTCAAGTGGCCCATGCAGAGTCCTCCTGTGCACAGAAGCTACTTGATTGAAGCAGGAGAGTGACCACAGCAGATACAGAACTGCTTTCTGCTTGCCTGCCTACAGGGTTGGAAACGGGAAGCGTTTACACTGATCCGACCCGTGTTCTGGAGTGCTCAGGCCCTACAGACCAGATCCTGCAGCATGATCTGTGCAAGATGTGAGGTGGCTGGAGCATTCTGGGAGAGATCTGCTGTACTTGTATGTGTCAGGCCTCGATTTGGTGATGTTTTGTAACTCTGGTTTGTTTTCATTCCTGTTGGAGACGAGGTTATTTTGGGGTTTCTGCAGCTACCAGGGTGATGGTTTGGGCCCACGCTATGAGCTTGAGGAGGGGAAAGTTGTGAGCCTTTCCATGAGAACTTTAGGGACTGGGAGTGCGTGTTTTACCTCAGGCTCTTGTGTCTGTGTAGTCTGGAGAACAGGTAGCCACAACCATGACTGTCAGTGAGCAAAGCTGTGCGCGCTGTAGCGGGGGAGACGAGAGGAGATGCGTTTTATTGTGTTGCCCTGAAAACAGGTGGGTCAAGGTCTCCTTGCATGGAAAGGCATTTGTGTTTTAGCTGTATAAGCTCCTCTCTGCAAGCCGTGCTTGGAAATGTTGGCAGCTATGATAACATGAGATGAATAATGTGTGAGAGAGGCTGTGGTGTGATGTTTGAGGGTGGACGTACTTTGAGAAGGGAGGGAGGATATGGCGCTTCCCACTGTACAATGAGCCTGTCTTTAGCTGTACTTGCTGACAGCGCTCAAGATCTTGATCAAAGCCAAGGTGCCCTTTCAGATGTCAGGAAGAAATTATCTTTTTTCTTTTTTTCCCTTGGGTTTGTGTTTGCCTTAGGTGTCCCTGTTTATTCGTGTATGCAGGCAGATCTTGGTTCAACTTGCTGTGCTTTTGAAGGGGGAAAAGTTCCTAGACTCTTCAAAAATAGAAACAATTAATATAAGAAAGAGAGCCCCTCTGAACATGAAACAGCAATGACATGAATTAGTCCCAAATACCTGTTCAGTATGTAGCAGGAGGTACTATAAGCTAAGATTAGGTGTAGCAATGGGCAGTGAATTGGATGTGGGTCTGGCTAGAAAAGAGGCCAGAGCAGTTTTGGGTTGTCAACTCGGAGAGAGGGAGAAGATTGAAATGCATCTGCATCTGGGGTAATTGGCATGAGCATGTAGTCAGAAACACGGTGAGTGGTGCCTGAAGGGAATCAATAAAAGGGGAAGCAACACTGGTTTGGCTGTGTCTCTGTCACCCCCCTCAAGGCACAAGAATGCCCACCCGGGCTAAGCTCCATGCTGGTATAATCCATGGAGTTTTGAAACATTTTGCAGCTAGACTAAACGAAGAAATTGCTGTATGTGTGTGTGGGCCGATGCATTCTCCTATCTCTGATTTCCAGGTCATGTGGATGGATGGTGATCTAGAAAAGAATGGGCTAAGTTGGGTTGAGCACAGTGTACCAGCATCACCGAGCAGTTACGTGTGACTCGTGGTTTCCTGGGAGGGAGGAAAGCAAGTTCAGTGAGCAGAATTGCTTTGTGGCTGCCAGGATAAAATCTGGCCTGATGTGGAAAGGCTTCCTGGTTGGAACATGTGGGAAGGAGCTTTCTCACACAGGTCATCCATCCCGCAGGAGGAAGAGCTGTGCATCGTCGCCGCAAGCTGTGCTCTGGAGCCGGGCACAGCAGCCTGAAGACAGGCTGCTTTCCACGGGGATGGTGGAAGTGAAGTCCTCCAGTTCCTCCTCATCAACACACTCTGATAACTTCCTGAGGCTTGGAAGTAGCCCGCTGGAGGTGCCGAAATCCAGGTGAGATGGGATGGAGCAGAGCATTTCTTGCAAAGCTAGTGTCTGGAGAAGAGCTGGCTGCGTTTTTGTCGCTCTGAGGAGCTTGGGACACGTGGCTTGTAGACTTGAGACCAGGAGGCCAGTTTCTTTCTTGGTTGGCCTTATGTGTAGTGCTGGCCACTTACCACAGAAATTCCCTTCTCGGCTCATTTGGAGGAGAGAGGAGCTGTGCACACATGCTGGTGTTGGTTCTGCCTGTCCTCAGTGCATGCCTCAGCTCTGCGGGGTCTGGCGTCTCCGCGTCCTGCATGCCTGGGTCGTGCAGCGCTGCCTGTCAGCTGCACCCGCAGGGATATCAAATGGTTAAGGGCTGTGTGGGAGGCGAATCATCTCAAGCCAAGCAGACCCCACTCCGCCTCTATTCCTGTCTCCTTTTCCATCTGCTAACCTTCCTGACACCGCAGGGTGGAAAACTCCAGGTGCTGGTGGCAAACAAAGGTAGAATCCGCCGGGAGCAGGCTGAGTGTTGCGACAGCACAAAGGATTTCGGCTGGGGGGCTGCGCGTTCCCGCTGTGCAGCCGGGAAACGGGGAGCCTGGACCTCAGCCGAGTCTCATGCCATGACAAAGGACACTCTGGCAGCCTTCCAAAATCTGGTGCTGTGGTAGGGCAAAGGGGAGCAGCGAGCTGGGCTGGGGGAAGAAAGAACGGAGCTTGTGGCGCAAGCGCAGTGTGTTCAGGACGACAGGGGCTAAGAGACTCTGAGATAAGAGGTTGCTGTTAACAGCATCAAACACTTCTGTGGTCTCCACTGAGTCTTTTTCTAGCAATTCGCATCCGAACAGCCACTAGCCAAACATTACTACTCTCTTATCACATGCAAAATAAAGTGACGAGCAAGTAAATCATTAAAGATCTGTAGGGTTTTCTTACCAAATCAAGTTTCTTGATTCCAGAGAAAAATCGCTGTCTGACAGTTTTCAGAAATGGTGTTAGCTGTTCTCCCTGAGGAAAGAGAGCAATAGGATGTTTCTGAGCTATTGCTAGAGCTTACCTCTATATTCTCTCTCCAATGAAATGAGTCTCCCAAGAAGAGAACAAAACACCGTGAGTGCAGCCTGTCTGGGAGGCTGCTTTTGTTCAGAGCATTTATGCCACTAATGCAAGCCCTGTGTGTGGTCTCACGCTGCCCCAGAACCTAACAGCGTGTTCAGTGCCGAGCTGCAAAAACTGCCCGGGAGCGACTTTGCAGCAGTGCTGGGGCAGAGGCTGATCATAATGCACCAGCCAGACTCCAGTCTGCAAGAGCAAAGAGAAGAAAGAACAGGCAGAAAAGCAGCGGGGCACGGTGCCGGGGCTCGTGTCCCAGGGAATCAGTACTGGTAAAGGCAGCACTTTCCTGTCCTCTGGATGTGGCAGCTTTTCAGGTTTAGATGGCTGGATGGAACAGGCAGTTGTTACCTGGGTTCCCCAGTGTTTGAGGCAACAGGTAACCATGGTGGGGAAGCTTGTCCTTGAGGCTGGCCTTTCCTTGCACCCAGTAAAACAAGCTCCAATAAGGACTTGGTCTTCTGCCGTTACTGTACGAATTAAATGTTCTGTGTATTCCACTAGGAATATTTTTTTTCCTGACCTTTACACTAGTGTCTGTGCCCTTCAGCATGTGGCAAAGTCACACTGGTCCATCTTCAATCCCTGTTGACATTTACAAGCCAGGCACTGTGGAAGACTGAGCTGGAAAAAGGTGCATAAGAGGGGAATGGGCAATAAAAGGGATCTCCTTGGAAGGCTTGAAATGAAGAGGATGGGAGAAGGAAATGAGTTGTGAGGCCAAAGTGGTCAAGTTAGTTCTGTGCGAAGATGGCTGGTCTGGGTGGGGATTATGTGCACACTTGTATACTTGCTTATTCTCTGGTGTCACCTGGGTTTCCTCTACTCCTCTCTGTGTGCAAGCCAGAGGAAATAAGCCTGGAGACCCTGCAGGGAGTGGGTGGAATTGTCAAGGCAACGGCTGAACTGAGCTGCTTTTTCAAACCAGGCTCCTGGCATGTTTATGCTCCTTTGCCTCGTAGTTCCCCACTCAATCAGCATCAGCCAGACTGGTGTGTGCCCTACCTGGTTTCCCTGGAATAACGCTGGGAGCAGTTAGACTAGCTGAGCCCTTGGAGCAATGCATTGCCTTGTCGATGGTGACATGATTGCCACCTTTTGAGGCTTGAACGTGGGGTTTATGGCCAGGGAGGAGCGGGTTGTGTCCTGCCGCTTGGCTTTGGCCTCCGTGGTTGGACAGTGTGAATCAGTCTGATGAACTCTGGGCAGGTGATGGATGTCAGAGTATCTTCAGCCACCATTCTCCATCCTGGAGCGAGGAAGGGACTCCTGTTGTGTAGAGAGAGAAGAAATGCATCTGTGGTGAAAGGAAGGAGTTAAGTTCTCTTCCTTCACCCTTGAGAAATGGTGGGACTAGGATGGAGACTGGTACACAGAGACTAATGATACCAAAAATATCTTCATCTTGACGGTGCCGTTGCAAGTTAACACCCTGGGCTCTCAAGATGAAGAAACTACTGTACTTGACTTTCTAATCCTCTGGTTGTGTGGCCATAGCAACAAAACGCTTAACCACTGCAGCAGCAGTAAAGGGAAAAAAGGTTCCCTGTAAAATGCCAGCAGGCAACGTTGGGGCAGTTCTCTTGGCTGTCCCCTCCGTGGGCTGCCAGGCAGGTGAGCTCAGGAATGAACAGGAAAACGAGCTGGCTTAGGTGAGCTGAGCCTTGGCAGACTCCTGGGAGGAATAACTGGGGTGTCCTAAAGGAAAGAGGTGCAGATGCCAGGTTGTGCAGTGTGATCCAGGCCCCTCTCCTGAGTGGACCATGATAGTGATCTGCTCCTGCCTTCGTCTCATCAGCTGGGTCTTCCAAGTCCTGCTCTGATTTGGGGGGTCCTGGGTACTTATGCCTGGATTATCCTTGTCAGTAAAGGCATTTCAAAGGCAAATTTGTGCCCCCATTCTCAAGAGACAGTCTTTCTGGCTCATCCCAATGAAATGGTAGTATCTTGTCTGAGCACAAATGTGTGAAGATACTGCATACGTTATTTGCACAGTAGGACAGGGTGCTTTTCTTTCTATAAACTGGGAGCTCCAAGTACAGCAGATAGCAAGCTTTAGCTGTAACCTGCTGCATGTGAAAGGGTAGTGGCCTGCAGATAATGTCCTGTGTTTGCATTTGCCACTAATGGTCTGTGTCCCCTGGCACTGCAGGAAAGCCCTGTATCTGTGTCAGGGATTTAGTGTGTGTTCACACATCACTGATGGGGATTAGCAGCGGGATAATCTGCTTGAATGTGCTTTTGCTAAGTCAATTAAATAAAACCCAAAGTAGTGTGGCCTGAAGAGTCGGGATCCCCAGGAGTTAAATCACAAAGGATCCGCTTTGGCCGCTGGTGGCAGAGAACTGCCTCACTGCAAGGGCTGCACATGGTTCAGATGTGGCTCCGGAGAGAGCGCAGCGAATGCCACGAGGGGCTGAGAAGCTGCTGTCCCTTGGCTGTGGGGTGTTGCTTTACAGTGCTAAAACAGTGCACGCAGTACACATCTTACCCCTGTATATCCATATCCTGTATATCCGTATATCCAGCTGCCTGGGAAGGTGCATCTGCCATGTGGCAGCAGTGACCGCGGCAGGAAAGGAATCGTTTACAGGAGCTTTCTGGAGCGGTGCAGAACGATTCCTGGAACGGATGCAGGGATTGTGCCACAACACCGACTTGCAGGACAGCTCGGGGCTGTATCACAAGCAAGAACGGTTGTACACACGGAGGCCCGGCCTGCACAGACTGTCACAGCACTGAGCAGGGGTGTCAGAGCTGCTGGGGCTGCAGCCAGGGCTGGCAGGACAGCCCTGTGCCAGGGCTTCCTTGCCAAGAGTTCCCACGCACGGTGCGAAGGACTGACCTCCTTGCTGAGCTGCCGCCGTCTGTCTATGCATGCAGCACCTCCCAGCCAGAGCCTCTCCTCTAGCACCTGGTTCTGCTCGTTTTAAGAGCTGTGCTAATAGTGAATACTTGAATTTGAGGCAGCAAATAGGTGCTGGCAAACGAGCTGCTTCCCAAGTAGTCCAAGGTGTGTGGGAATACAGCCAGAGAGGGAGGGCAGAGCAGGGCAAGGTGTGAGCCCAGCGCGTGGGCACTTGGCCGCTGACTCCCTCACGTTTTAAGAAATGAATCCCCGATTGCTTCTCTGCCTCCTGTATTGGCTCTTCTCTGGTAAGCGGGTGTCTGTGCGCTCAGAAATGCTCTATTCTGTGCAGCATGTTGCATGGGAAGCGCTGACCTAATTAAAAGGAACCATTCCAGGCTAGGAGTTGCCAGTTTATGGCCTCATAATGGTCCTACCTCGTGTAAAGGAACAGCTTGCGGCTCATCTCTGTTTTACTAATCTAATTTTGTTAATCTTGCACTTTTGAGGGAGTCTCTTCCCACTCGTGGATCTGAAGAGGTGGGTGTTTGAAGCTTGCTTTCATTCTCTCTTTCCGTTTGCCATTAAATGGCTTTGGCAGATGCATTGATTTGAAGACTTGCTGTATCCTTTCTAAGAACCCTATCAGTTTTGTTGTAGCAGTCCAGCTGTTTCCCAAGACCCTCTGCACTGCCCTCGCAACTAGACAGTTTCTGGCACGGCTGTACTGTGTTGCAAAGCTGTTCCTGTGGGCCTGGAGAGCGGTCCCGGTGTGCCAGTATCCACGGCTTCCTCTCGAGCCTCGCTGAAGCCTTTTCCTGGACCTCTGCAGCAAGAGTTTACTAGGAGCCTTCAGGGGTTACAGATAGAAGTAACAGGAAAGTGTTCACCTCTAGCATTGGCTGGACTGCACGGGGATGCAGTCTGCTTGGAGATCGAATCTTGGGCTCAAGCCCAAACTCAGTTTTTGAAGCTCTTCTGAGCAGGACACTTGCTGGAGTCCCAAATCTGTGGCCTCTCTCTGCCAATAGTGTGAGATTTCCCATCCCTGCCAGCCTGGCCCAGCCTTGGCTCTTGCTGTCTCTGGAGGCTAACGTGCCTGTTGGTTGTGACATTCCTCAGGAGCCTCCCTTGAGGAGGTATCAGAGTTAGAGGGGAAGGCTGCTGCTCGTCTCTGCTGTCTGCACTTACGTGTCTAAGCCTGGCCTCGTTGCAGAGTCGGTCAGTTTATTCACTCGGGCAGCAAGTGTTTATTAAGCAGCCTGGAGGTGGGAGACAGAAGTGGCTGCCTTGAACTCCTGGACTCCTGTGCTATTAGGTTAGATGTAATTTGACTAATTCCAAGCTGTCTGGATCAGGCTGGAGGAAAGGATAGAGTAGTGCTTGCTGTGCAGCAGATCTGGACTAGTGGATTCGATCAAATCATCTCTTGGGCCTGTGCTATAGGATGGGGCACCCTGATGTTCTCGGAGTGGCCTGGAGAGATGGAGAGCCTGGGAACATGGTTGTTCTTTCAGGGCTAGACATGGAGAAATGGCAGTCAAACCAAGTGCTGTTTTGTTGTCCCTTTTGCCCTGGGTCGTGTCTTGCTCCTCTGCTTGCCGTGTGGCCAGCCTGTGCAGGCTGCTGTATTACACTCCTCTTCACAAGCCTGTTCAGTTCTCCTTGCAAGAAAGGGAGATCCTCATCTCAGCATCCTCAGAGATGCTGAATACTCACAATACCTGTCTGAATGGTGCTCCTCCATTCATCTAGCAGGCACAAAACAGGAGCTGTGCAGGGCAGGTGAAGCTCTGCTCTTCCCTTTTCCGCCTTGATGCCAAGTGCTTCCAGAGCCAGGATCCTGCACGGTGGTGTTACCTGCAAGCTGCAGCCGCAGGAGCATCAGGACCCCGATAGAGACCTAATCTATAACGAGCTCTCTGCCTTCCCCTTCTCTTCAGGCCCGTGAGATTTCTCAAATTTGGATATACAGGTTAGACGAGTTGGGTTTAGATCCAGAGTGCCCGTAGGTTTCCCCTGGCCCCTGTTGCAGCCTTGCAGCGGGGAATCCTGTGTTTCCAGGCGCGCTGCCGCTCTCCGGGGAGCAGCTGCAGTGCGCCACTGCTATTCTTAGCTGGGAAGACGGCGCGCGAGCACCTGGCCCGGCAGAGCCGGAGCTGCTGCGCTGCGTTCTGCCCATCGCGGATGAATTATCCAGAAGGGCTGGATAGCGTGTAATTGAGGAGCTCAGCCACCGGCTGTGCTTCCAGCTACGAACACTTTGCTGTGCAGCAGGGCACAATAATTACTTGTTCCCTGGGCACCCAAGAGCTCTGGGTTTGTCTCTACTGACTGTGTCCTCTCCTCTGAGATTTTTGAGGGACTTCTCACGTTCTCACACGTCCGACATCCTGCTGCTTCCTTTCCTGCTGGGAGGCTGCCTGCATCCAGCAGCTGTCCTTCCCTAGACTATTTTTCCTGTATTAAAGATGTTTTGCTCCCTGGCTTCTGCCACGGTCTGTTCTTCCAATGCAGGAATACAGAAGTCTGTGGGTGCTGTGGTGGGTGGGTTCCGCGGGGCCACCTGGAGCAGGGACTTGTTCCGTTCGGAGCTGCTGTTAGTGCCTCGGGAGTGATCTGCTTTCTAAGGACAACAGGACCACAGATCTCCAAACCTTCCCCAAGCCACTACTTTGATTCTCCATCAGGCCTTGCCCTTGCACTGCTGTGTGCTTAGGGCTGAAGCAGGCACCTGGTGGATGCTTCTCATACGGAGCTTTATCCACATGTGAGAGGGATTTGGGGACGGATGTGCTGTTGCCTCTTGCTAACGGGTTTCACGGTCCTGCATGGCCATCTGCTTCTTGCTGGCTTGGTCCTGTCCCGCTCACGGGGGACTCTCTGCTCCCTCAGCCCCAGCCAGCTTGGCTTCCCGCTGCCTTTTGAGGGACAGGCTGGGCTTCCCCGCCTGCCCCAGCTGCTGGCACAGATGCTGCTGGCCCTGAGCCCGGCGCGTCCTGGCAGCGGAGCCAGCGAGTGCCCGGGCGACCTCACTGACTGCACCGTCTCCCTCTCTCTCTGCCCCAGATCGGCCGACCATTCCCTGCCCGGATCTTCCGTTTCCACAGACTTTGGCAGCTGGCAGATGGTGACAGGTTGTGGCAGTATTCGGGAGCAGGCAATCCTGAGCGCGGACGCCTCTCTCCCTTGCAGCTTCCCGGACGAGCTCCCTGGCGCTTGCCTGTAAGTGTCTCGAATGCAGGATCCTCCCTCGGGTGACCTGGCCACGGGCCCTGGAGCTTTGGCACTTCGGAGACGCCAGGGAGCCCGTAACAACCTGTCCTGCCTTCCCTCCTTGATGCTTTCTACCCACAAGTGCTCTCACTGGCTGCTCTCTGGTTACACTGAACTCTGAAAGAAACTTATTTTATCTATTTAATGACAGGGGTGCTTTGCCTTCTGTAGGAAGGGGTCTTTCCTCCCTGAAGACGCTGAATCTGGGCACAGCTTGCTGAATTTGGGGGTCGTACCTGCCAGGACAAGCCTCGGTTAGGCAGGCTCTCTCGCTTACGGATCTTGCTCGTCTCCATCTCCCAGCTGGGTTCGGATCCAGGCTGCCATAGCCGGGCTCCCTCCTTTGCTCACGCCGGAGCTCGTCCCGCAGCGGCGTCGTTTGCGGCCGCCGCGTCCGGCCCCGCTGCGCGTTGCAGGGCTCGTTCTGTAAAACGGCTGGGAGGCGAATGTTTCTTTGCAAATAGAAAGTCACCTCTGCAGAAACTTGAAAGACAGGGGATGTGCTTTAATTGCAGTTAGAGGAGAACCTTGGCTCATGCCTCCAGGCTGTAAACTTTCAGTCAGGAAACTGTGAAATGGCAGATTGGGTGCTGCCGCTAGCTCGCTGCTGTTGAGAGGTGCTGCTGAGTGTTTGCAAACCCCTCTGCCGAGGTTCGGGTGTGCGCTTTGGAGGAGATGCGAAAACAAAACATCTCCCTTGGGACAAGCAAGCCGGCCTGGCCCGGCCGCTCGTCGCTTTGAAGTTGAGCCGGTGTCCTCCGGTAACGTGGAACCTGGAGCGGGGATTTAGCGGAGCAAGAGTCACTGTGACTTAGCAGTCACAAGTGGTGACTCTGCATCGCTCCGCTTGGTTCAGGCTCTTGCAATTTGGGGTCTAGCTGCTTGGACGGGCAGGTTCAACGGGAGCTTGTGCACTCCCCTGGGGGCACAGCAGGTGCTGGGAGCGCTCTGCCCTACACGTGTCCACCGAAGCTGTGACACTGTCATTGTGCCCTTGGGCTGGGCACTGCTCGATCGCAGGAGCTGGGGCCAGGCTGGTGCTTCGGAAGCGTCTCCAAGATGAAGAGTTACTGAGGAGCACACCTTGGGCCTGTCCCAGGGCTTGGAGTCTCTACTGTGCATCAGCTGCTTGCTTAGGAGCCCACGATGGTTTCATCCCAACGTTTTGCAGCCCAGAGCACTATGAGCTCTTGGAAATTAAATTCTGTTTAGGTTCCCGCTCTACATCTTGTGAGTTAGTGGTTTGCCATGAAGGTGTGCTTTTCACAGCCTGCTTCCTCGCACTCCTGTGGGGCTTGTGAGGATTTACTTGGAGCTGAGGCTTTGACAGTCTCATCTCACCCGGTGCCCCTGGGACGTGTGGCAGGGCAGAGAGCCCCTGGGCTGGCAGAGAAGCACAACCAGGGCTTGCTTTGCTGCTTGAGCTGTCCCCTGAGGCGGTGCAGTCGGTCTGCAGGGCTTCTCTGTGGCACCTGGCCATGCTCTGCTGCTTGGACCTGCACCCTTGCGTTTCTTATGATACTTCAGGTGACTTAAAGAACGTACGTGGAGAAAGCAAGAGTGTGGATAAAGGATCCACGCTGTGCACGGGTGTGAAAGCCAAAAGATGCAGGACCAAAGCCTGATACGCACCCTAAGTTACCTCTGCCTGTGATGCTCAAGATTCTTGAATTCCAGGTGCAAGTAAGCCCTGCTTTAACATATGGCCCGTTTCTTAACGGTAGCAGATTTATGAGCTCCACGTTTTAATTAGGTTGCCAAGAAGCATCTTCTTATGTGTTTTGATATGTTGCCGTTTTCCTTTGCCCTCTGGCTTCTCTTCGTTACCAGACACTGTAAACAGGGCCCGGCTGGCTGCCTCGGTGCTGTTTATAGGCTTCCCACCAGCTCCCCTCGCTGCTGTTTCCGGACTGGAGCTGTTGGCTGTGGGTGGTTAACACTTCCATTCAAATTAGCCGTGCCAGTTTATAGCCAGCCCCGGCACCGGAGAGATTAAAGGGAATACTCGATGGGGAGGTTTGCACCGTGCCCTTGGAGTCACCTTTGAGGAACGTCTCGTGCTCGCCGGGAGCCACCGGCGTGTTACGGAAGGACCGGGTCGGGCCCGAGCGCGCGGAGCAGATGCCTTTGAACCACGGTGCTGCTTTCTGCTCCTCTGAAACGCTGCGTTCCCTCCCGTCTCTTCCCCCAGCCCTAAGCGGGTGCATAGATCAGATGGAGAGGAGAGCAGGTCCCGGGGGACGCCGTGCCCTACTCTGCGTGCAGCTCTCCTGCTTGCACAGAGCAGCCTCGCCGTGGAGCAGGAGGAAACGTCACCCGGCGCTCCTGCTTGCGTGGTGGGAGCTCCTGGGGGCTTTTGTCACCCTGTCCGTCTCCTCTCGCTTAGCCAGCCTGGTCCCCAGGTCCCCACAGGGCTCTGGGATAGCCCAAGTTGGGCCAGGCTGGGGGCAACATGTGCTAGAAGCAAGGGAGGGTTGCAAAGCTTGAAAGCAACTGCCCAGACACCACACGTGTGGCTGGACTGCACCTGGAAACACGTGTGGAAAAAGGGGAGAGCCGGCGTGGGGGGCTGATGTCAGGCGGAGCAGGCTGGGCAGGAGCTGTCCATGGGAACCACGTTCTGCCAAGGAGCGGGGCAGGAGGAGGAACAAGTGGTGGTGAAGGAGGAGATCCAGGGCTGGGAGCAAAGGGCTGAGCACCACGGGGCCACCACGGCAGCGGC